AAGGTGGTAGATCACATCCCACAATCCTGCATGCAGGATCAGGCCCTTTAATTGATCGCCGAATGGGCAGTGGCCAATCAAAAGGGAGGTTTTCTTTCTTTCGCGACAATCTTGCCTTTCCTGCTCACAGAAGGAAAAGCAACGGGACCAATGTTTATCCATACATTTCCCAGTGATTTGTGGAAATCCATTCTACTGTGGCTCAAGGAATAGTGTTGCTGGGAGCTGAGGCGAACGTACGTGTATGTGCACATGCAAATATCCCTACTGGCCTGAATTGTACTTTCTCCGACCATTAATTGACCAACTGAGAGCCAGAATCGCACCGCAACGTTGGCAGGGAGCTCATGACTACACTTCGTATGCTCAGGTATAGGCGTTGTCTATGAACGACGTACGAGTCGCACTCGTGTTAGTCTGTTTCAGGTAAAACCATATTAAATGTCTTAGAAAGAGAAGAGTGAACACATCCCACTCGCACTGGCGTCGTCGTTTCCTTTAAGTTTCTGATGTGTACGACTGTACGGAGAACCAGGTACGCAATGTCAAACCGAGCCTCAGGTATGACGCACTGGCGATGCTATTTATTACCCAGCGAGAGATCCGAGTGTCAATAGTTGCCTCATTTCGCTAATCTGTTCATTGCCTGGTGGTTCCGTGGGTGGACGTCCTGAGATAGATTGCGTGTCCTGACTCGAGACCCACACGGACGGTCCCAAGAGTCACTGGCGGACCCTCCTTGACTGACACGCCCCCAATTGACAGCCCGGTAGAACCGAGGTTTTGGACCGTGGGATTCGTCGTCTTCAGTCTCCATCGAGTGTCGCACGTTCAATGGTACCAATTTGGCATGGTATGATGGATCAAGTAATTCAGCAAGCGATCAATCAACCCATCTGACTAGAATTACGAAGGAGGCGCGCACGACCTGCAAAAATTTATTGCCTGGTGCGGCCAAAAGATCGAGACCGAGCGAAGAAAACCCCCCACAGCCACCAGAAAGGACGCCAGGGCTCAATTTTGAATTTCGAAAGTCCGCCGTCTATTTGGGTCCATTTATCGGCGCCCTAAGCCCTCTTGGGAGGTTAGTTCGTGCCGACCACGAAGGAGTTTGTCCTCCGAGCGGACTAAATCCTGCCTGCTGGAGCCCGGAAGCTCTTACGCGGAAGTCTGGCTGGTTAACGATGCATTCTCCGTGCATATCCCCTTATGCGGCCTGTGGCGAGTAGGCAGGCGTAAAAATAAATTCAGCTGCGCACAAAATGTGGGTTTGTTTTGCAATTGAGAGGGGCCTTTATTTTTTCTTCCTAGACGCTTCTTGCTGCTTATCCACCATCAGAAAGTACATTTCTGTTGCCGGTCAGCACAAGAGACCAGCCAGTGGCGTTATAGCTGCTCTCCCACATTGACATCCTAAATAGACTGGTGCGTAGATGTTAGTAAACAAACAATCTCGTCTACCGTTAGACTAGCGGGTGATGATTGGCAAGCGAAACGGTTGGAAGGACGGACTGGAGCTCACCAGGACGGGTGACATCCATGGAACCGGGATGAAGCCGATCGATCGTGGAGTTAAACCGGAATGGACGGCAGCACTTGAGTGGCCGAAGAAGGAGCTGGGATGGAGGCCGGCGGAAGAGAGAAGGAAGAGAAAGTGGGTGCGGCCAAAGTCCAGAACGGCGTGTGGTCAAGACAACCTATCGGAGTTGCTAGCTTCACTTGGGCCGTCCGCGCCATTCACGTCTGACTAAGAGCTATCCACCTCCCCTTCCCTTCCCCCTCTTCCTCCACACAAAACACTCGGCTGGTCCCTGTTCCTGTTCGTGATCTTTTTTCTTAAAGTATCTGATTTCTCGCTATCCCCGCTCGTTATCTTTTGTTCTAGACATCTCACTTTCCCTTTTCCCCTTCTTCTCACTTCCAACATCACGTCTCATCGGTCGGCACCTCCTTCGTCGCCCTTGTTGTGTCTCACTCGTTCTCTCCACAATCGTTTCTCCACTTAGATCATCATTGGAAACTATTGCTGGCTAACATCAAACTGCCAGCTTGGTTCTTTATTGCTCTCTGATACATCGAAAACAAAATACAAGGAACCAACACGACTAAGGAGAACTATCTACAAAGTTCTACCTTTTTACCACCTTCATATCCATCATCGTGATTCGCCCATCTTGTTTGCTTTGAAAGCAACCTTATCCGGGTACTATTGCCTCTGTGTGACTCGAATTCATACATCTAGTATCTGCGTCCTCGAGGCCTTGCCACCCTTCTAAACCGATCCTTCGCTTCTCCTTAGCTGTTTAGTTTTCCAAAACTGGAAAATAACCAATCACTCAAGCCGATCACAAAGAAACTTAAAAAGATACCACTACTCCACCGGCGGATCGAACTGACACCCTGCCGGGCTGATCCAACCGAGGCACTTCCGCAGGAACGTTTGCCCCCCTCACACCGAGAAGGAAAGGGATAAGCGCTCCTGCTCTCCCTAGCCAAGGCCCCTTCTTGTCGTTTCCCAGCTTGATTCTTAAGGCGCATATCCGTGCTATGGGAGGACAGGTTACACGCAGCTGATGCCAGCCGTCATTGCAAGTAACTCCTGCCCACTTTGATCTCCTGCACGTCTTATCACGTCGCACACACAATTCCCCTGGCTTCGCTTTTCCCCGACTGGACCTAGTCTGCTTGTTATCCCAGATTGGTTTTTATATCCCGGTCTTTCCATAGGTCCCTGTTAACCAGCTGACCTTGTCATTCTTCACTCTTGACTTTCGTTACCATCTCCATCAATGTCATCAAAAATGACGCGTGTCGAGGAACCTCTGGATGCCCCTGATGGCTCTGGCCTTACCTGGATCTTTGACCATTGCCTCCGCTACCCTGGTACCTATGAGATTCCATTGCGCACCATGTACTCGCTGAACTGCAATCCCACGAGACAACCGGCGCCTGGTACTCGTGCTCCCGAAACGGCCTTTCATCGCCCCACCAATTCGTCGACTTCCCAAGACTCGCTGGACCCTGCCGCTGATTTCCGAGCTCAATTGACTCATCAAATTTCGCGGTTGCCTTCACAGCCTTGCTCGCTTCCCCCAACTTTCGTCACCTCATTCCTGCGTCGTTGCTTCACCCCTGAGTTGGAAGAGGTTGATTTCCCCCAGGCATTGCCTGCCCTGGACTACCTCAAGGATTTTGAAACCCGTCGCCGGAAAGAGGTTGCAGACGCGCTGCAACGGCTAAAAGTGGAGCCCAATGATGTGAAGGAGAAGGCCCAGCTGGCGAAAAAGAACCCTGGCGCTTTGACTTGGCTTGAAACTATTACTGTTCAGGGCCGCCGAGTGGAAGCTCTTTATACTCAGATATACGTTGGTCTGCGTCGCTGGGTAAGCCTACCTGCCGCTACTTCAAAGACTTATTCCAGGCTAACTTACTTGACTAGACGTTGATCAACGAGATGTTGATGGAGCCCTTTAACAAGGCCAATTGTATCGCCATGCTCAACACACTTTTCCCCCCAGTCACAGAGGCAACCGTTTCTCCCACTTCGCACCTCACCCCGCAGATTCTTAAGTCACAGCGGGATGGGTTTTTCCGGTATATCGCAGCCGTCGAGGTCAACGGTCCAGACGTTCTCACAAAAGTGATCGCTCAGGGTGCTCCAAAGGGATCAGCCAATGGTTGGCCATTGATCAGAGAAGCCCTAGACAAGTATCTCCGGGCGGCCAATGAAATGATTGACGAATGCACAACGGTGTCTAGCCCGGCTGGCGTGGATGAGGGTATTCAGTCTCAGCCTCGGGCTCACAAAGGCCGCTCAGTCGATTCGGGCATCAGCTTTGATACGGGGGAGAAGCTTCCTTCCTCGCCTGTCGAGTGCAGCAAGAGCATGGATGACCTTCTAGAGAAGCCCCTCCCCCCACCTCCCTCTCCCAAGGGGCACAACCACAAGTCGGGGTCGACGCTTGAGCGGCTGGCCCGCGAGATTCGGAAGTTGGGTGATGCCGGTAAGGCGAGGAATCTTAAAAAGATGAGATCCACTAGCGCCCTCGGTGTTCGGCCAGACACTACTGGTGGCCGCTCTACCGAAGACAATTCACTGTTCGAGGTGGATGAGCAGAAAAGAAGGCGGCTTCTGTGGGAGGCTTCCAACCGCAAAAAGGCCCACGTGAAGCAACTTAGCAAGGACACCGCATGAGTTGGAACTGAAGTGTTGTATAGCCTGGTGCTAACTTTCACTTCTTGTCTTTCTCTAACTTTCTTTCTTCAATCTTTTCAACTGTCTTTCGTTTCTCCTAAGAGGGAGAAGCAAAGGCGAGAATCAACATAAGCCTGGATGCTTCAACACTGGATTTATTTGGGAGTCTGAACGTGGGATTCAAGGTGCATCAGGTTTTTACTACTTTGTTTTTTTCTTCTTTTTTTTTCTTTTGATTTCATATGGAAGTTGGGTTTGCATACAAGACTGGCGTATAGGGTGGTTATCTTCAAGCGATTGAACGCCAGATGGCGAAAAAAAAGCACAAAAGCTGGAAAGACAAAAGTGCTGACACATTCTGAAACGATTACTGACTGACATAAATGATTACGATCCTGTTTCTATTAGCGAATCTTGCTGTTCACTAGCCAGACAACAATGAAAGTTATACCAATCTGCATAGTCTTCATTAGAGCCATTCAAGCCATCCGGGAACAACCCCAGGCAACAAAATAGGGAGAGAACACTGCGAATTTGGACGTGTAGACCCCCGCGTAGCCTCTATCGACTCCGGGGAACTGCTATATGCCTTGATACTCTCATAAAGGATCCAGTTACATACTGTGACAGCAGTTGCCGACTGATGGGCCATTGCAGCTAAAGCGCGGAAGTTCGGCGTTTTTGGCCGCTGCGCCGACCGTAGCAGCTCGCCCATCCCGCGATGTGGCCAAATGCCCCCCAGACTTATAAGCGCTGCTCTCTTGGCTCAACAACTCGGAGGAACTTCTTGTGCAAGCTCGACTGGGCATTTTAAATGCCTAATTGGCTTATATATTGATCATACTGATCTGGAAATTACATCGTTGCCATTGATCGCCTCGAGCTTATCCGCCGCCCGTTATGAGTGCTTGCTAGCTAGCTTATCGGGAACAGCTAGCTAGTCAACACCGGCTGCCATCAGCTCTAGGGTATCATTCCTGTAGTGGACTGTGACGATGGTATCTGGACTGGGAAATGTCGCCTCATGGCGACTTGCATCTGTATTGATTGCCGGTCTGCTGGCTATCCAGGGACGCGCCAGTCCGTCAGTCAATGTTGCTCTCCAAGCTTCGTTTGATTCCCCGCCTTATCTGATAGAGCTTCTGTAAGTGGAATTCGTACAGACCTAGGCGACTATTCTTGCTTCTTGGGCTGATTTTGTTATAGAGAATCCGCCGCAGAGGAGAACTCTACCTCATACTTCCCATTACTCGATCGGATCGCCGACGGTTCTTTCGACGACGCTGTTACGGATAAGGACCTATATGACCGCTTTTTGGAAGTTGTGCGTGAGGATGGACACTTACGGACCCCCGAAAGTCTCTCGTCTTTCAAGTTGTCGCTGGCGATGAGATCTGCCAGTCCGCGGATCACGGCTCACTACCAGTTCTATAATGCTTCGGTTCAACATTCCTTGATGGCCGCGCAGGATGCGGTCTGTCCTGTTTGGGTGCACTCGGAAGGAAAGCAATACTGCTCGTCTACTATGGAACGTGCTCAACAGGATGTTGAAGGTTCTGAGTGAGTGGTTAATCTCAACTTTGCGTGCACTGTTGGTTGGCTAACAGCTCCGACTGTAGTGATCCACGAGAACTCCCTTTCGATCGTGTCTTCGGTGATCCCTCTCTACCTCCAGCGATTTTGTACGCGGATATAGCGACCCCGATGTTCAAGGAATTTCACCAGTCACTGAGTGCTATGGCAAAAGAAGGACAAGTCTCGTATCGCGTACGATATAGGCCTCCCCAACATTGGACTCCTCGCCCTGTTTTTGTGTCTGGATACGGGGTCGAGCTGGCGTTGAAGCGGACGGACTACATTGTGATTGATGATAGAGATGCGGAAGAAAGAGGGACCGGCAGCATTGAGTCCGGAAAGTCTGACGCGACGGAGGATGATTTGGACGACCTGAGACCCCTGTCATCCTCAGAAGTTTCGCGGCTTGGGCTGAACACGGTAGGCTATGTGTTGGATAGCGATGACCCTTTTGACACACTCGTGAAGCTGTCACAGGACTTCCCCAAGTACTCTGCGCGTGTTGCGGCTCACAACGTTTCCACTGAATTGTTGCAAGATATTCGGTCTAGCAGATTGCGTATGCTTCCGCCAGGGCTTAACGTGCTTTGGATCAACGGAGTTCAGATTGAACCTCGACAAGTGGATGCATTCACTCTCCTGGACCACTTGCGTCGTGAAAGAAAATTGATCGAGAAGTTCCGCAACTTAGGCCTTTCCGCTACAGATGCTGTAGAACTGTTGTCACACCCTCTGCTTGGAGAGGCCTTGGCCCAGGATGGCCCTCAGCGTTACAACTACCGTGATGACATTGAGGGAGGTGGTGTTATCATGTGGTTGAACAATCTCGAAAAGGATGCACGCTATGAATCATGGCCCAGCGAACTTGCAGGAGTAGGTGCCTCCACGATCTTTTATTGTGGGAATGCTAATGTCTCGTAGTTTATGCAACGCACGTACCCAGGCCAGCTTCCAGCAGTGCGCCGCGATTCCAACAATATTGTCTTCCCTGTCGACTTGACGAGCACTGAAGATGCCGATATTGTCGTCAAGACGATCCAGGTCTTTGTGAAGAACAAGATTCCCGTCAGATTTGGTTTGATTCCGGTTACGTTCTCGGACGGAGCAATTGCTCAGCTCAAGGTCGCTCATTACCTTCAAGAGACTTTTGGTCTCGCCAGTTTTATGGATTACCTCGAAGCAGTAAGAGCCGATATGCCCTACCCAAATCCGCTATTGATTGTCAGTCACTGATTGGAGCAGTCGGCATCCAAAAACAAGTTGGCTTCTCCGGATAAGGCTTGCTTCCAGGCTGCAACTCAGGACCGGAACCCTCGTCCTGAGAAGGCTTCTCTATCTCTAGATGAAGTCTTGAATAATGGTGTATTTGACGCGACGGTGTCAAAAACAACTGCGTACCTAAACCGTCTAGGGATGAAGCACGAGCCATCACATGCTTTTGTTAACGGTATTCCTGTCACCCGCAATGATAAATGGGCGCAGGAAATGAGCACAAAGATCAGCAGAGATACCCAGCTCATTCAACAAAAGATTGCTGATGCCGAGGTCGACGAAGATACTTGGCTGCCAGAGCTGTTTCTTTCACAGGCTTTTGACCGACGCAACCCGGCGATTGTTCCAGAAGACCCGAAAGAGATCCGGGCTGTGGACTTGGTGCAGATTGCGGACTCCCAAGGGGAGCTCTTCAGCCAGATTCCACGTCTAGCGCTAGACGAAAGCAATGCCTTGGAGAGTGCCCATGCCATCGTTGTTGGCAACTTTGATGGTGAAACGGGTTATGAGCTACTTAGTGCGGCCCTCGAGAGCCGGAAGACACATGGTGAAGTTGAGATGCTTTTCCTACACAATCCAAAGCTTGAGGCGCCCCCAGCATCTAGGTCTGTCGCCGTTCGCCGTTTGTTGAACGGTGGCAAAGAGGTGGATGCCAGTCAGGTTTTGGAGGCGATCGCGTCTTCCGCCTTGCCATCAGATGAGGAAGTTGGGGATGCGGCACACTTCTGGGAGGCTCAGCGAGCTGTAGTACAAGGGCTTGGACTCGCTCCGGGCGAAAGGGCACTTATCGTCAACGGAAGGGTCGTCGGACCAATTGCCGAAGACATCTCACTGACCTCAGAGGACCTGGACCAGCTACTGGTTTATGAGAAGCAAAAGCGAATTACTCCGGTAGCAAAGGCGGTCAAAGCACTTGAATTTGACGAGAAGCTTTCTGATCCGCTCGACTTTGCCAAGCTCACCTCGCTTACCACGCTTTCTACGATTTCGGATGTGCCAGAGGGCATCTATGAGTCAACTTCGGACATCCGTTTGTATTTGTTTAACCGATGGAACGACGCGCGTTCGGCGATTACTGTCTCCAACTCTGAGGATCCAGCGATCACCATTGTTGCATCTATTGATCCAACATCCGAAGTCGCTCAGAAGTGGCTCCCGATTTTGAAAGTACTGTCCGAGCTAGCGAGTGTCCGAGTTAGGTTGGTCCTAAATCCCCGCGAGGAGATCAAAGAACTTCCCACCAAGCGTTTCTATCGTTATGTTCTCGATTCGGAGCCATCATTTGAGGAAGACGGTTCGATTTCTCGGCCCACGGCCTCCTTCTCGGGCGTCCCCGTTGAAGCACTGCTCACCCTGGGCATGGACGTTCCCTCGTCGTGGCTTGTGGCCCCCAAGGACTCTGTTCATGATCTTGATAATATAAAGCTCAGCTCCGTCAAGGAGGGCTCGAATGTTGATGCTATCTACGCATTGGAACACATCTTGATCGAGGGCCACTCCCGTGATATGACCACGAAGTCCCCGCCTAGAGGAGTCCAGCTTGTCCTTGGAACGGAGAATAACCCTCACTTCTCGGATACCATCATCATGGCCAACCTCGGATACTTCCAGTTCAAAGCCCAACCTGGACTGTGGAACATTAACCTCAAACCGGGGCGTAGCGAACGTATCTTTACTCTCGACAGTGTAGGCGGCCTAGGCTACAACCCCCAGCCCGGCGACGAAAGCAACGAAGTGGCCCTCCTTTCCTTCCAAGGTCGCACCCTTTTCCCGCGTGTCTCCCGCAAGAAGGGCTACGAGACTGAAGACGTCCTCGAAACCAACCCCAGACCAGGTTCGGCGATGGACTACATGAATAAGGGTTTCAACTTCGCCTCCGGCATCCTATCCAGCGTCGGAGTCGGCACCAAAGGCAGTGCCAGCGGCAAGCAGGCTGACATTAACATCTTCTCCGTCGCCAGTGGACACCTCTACGAGCGTATGCTCAACATTATGATGGTCTCAGTGATGCGCAACACCAACCACAGCGTGAAATTCTGGTTCATCGAACAATTCCTCTCTCCTTCCTTCAAGTCCTTCCTGCCCCACCTTGCGAAGGAGTATAACTTCTCCTACGAAACGGTCACATACAAATGGCCACACTGGCTCCGGGCCCAGAAAGAAAAGCAGCGTGAAATCTGGGGCTACAAGATCCTCTTTCTGGACGTTCTCTTCCCCCTCGACCTCGACAAAGTCATCTTCGTTGATGCCGACCAGATAGTCCGCACAGACATGTACGACCTCGTCAGCCTCGACCTCGAAGGTGCTCCTTACGGCTTTACCCCCATGTGCGACTCCCGCCACGAGATGGAAGGCTTCCGCTTCTGGAAGCAGGGGTACTGGAAGAACTTCCTCCGCGGCCAGCCCTACCACATCTCCGCGCTTTACGTCGTCGACCTGAACCGCTTCCGTGCCATCGCCGCCGGTGATCGCCTCCGTGGACAGTACCAGATGCTGTCAGCTGATCCGGAGAGTCTGAGCAACCTGGACCAGGATCTGCCGAACCACATGCAACATCATATCCCGATCAAGAGTCTGCCGCAGGAGTGGCTGTGGTGTGAGACTTGGTGCTCGGATGAGTCGCAGTCGCAGGCTCGTACAATTGACCTGTGCAATAACCCTATGACGAAGGAGCCGAAGTTGGATCGTGCTAGGAGGCAGGTACCTGAGTGGACTGAGTATGACGATGAGATTGCGGCCTTGTCGAAGAGAGTTGCTGCTGAAAAGCAGCAGCAGGCGGAGGAAGAAAGGGACAATGAACCGTACCCTGACGAGGATGAAGAGGACGAGGCTTCTTCTGGCTGGGATAAGGATGAACTTTAGCGGGTGTCGTTTTAATTATAGCGTGTATACATAGATCAGTTTGGTCTCCAGTAGGAAATAGATTGTTCGCTTTAGAGGTCTTGTCGTCGCTCTGTAAGTGGTTGCTTCTAAATTGATATTATAAAGGCAGTACTGCTGGCGGGACCTTCCTTTTGAGGAATGACCTGCCTGTACGATTAGTCCGTTATCCTTCCGCGAATTCATCCCTTCTGTATTCCCAGATCTTCCTTATCTAGCTCTGTAGGATAAGTTCTACTCCATATCAAACTCTTTTCGAACGCTCTTTCTATATTCATTGGTTGTGAAGCTTCGCCTCGGAAACAGTCCTGCTTCATCAATTCCAATACCTCTGGATACTAGAGATACAAATATGCTCGTACTCAAGAAAAGACAAACTCAGTACCAAAACACCTTTTGGTTACCCCACGGGTTGGCAAAGCAGGTCCGATATCTAGAACCATCCAGATTGATTGATCAGCAATGGTAGGCTTGAGTGAGAAGCGTGAGCATTTGGATTGAGGATTTCTTCATCTATAGCCAACTCATAGTCAGTAGCTTTCCCATTCTTGGCAAATCTTGCCTAGTCGCTTCGACGACCGAGATTGTATACATGCAGGCTATGACGCTGTACATTGATCCCCTTGAACTTGCGCAGATGACGACTATTGTAGTAGGAATCTTCAGCGCAAGGCCCAGCAATCCAAACTCACTTCTGTCCTTTTGGAGAACCCCCTGGAAGGCCTACCAAGTAGCCCTCATCTCCAAGGTGCCTAAATTGTTCTTAGTTAAATTTCCGCCACGATGTTGGTTTCTTGCATCATAAGGCCATTCGAAGTGGAGCGTGCCGTTTAGCCTTATACAGCGTGGAGGGAATGGTGGCGTAGTAAGTTAGACTAATCACATGCTTTGTTGATAAGAACTAAAAGTAATTCCCTATTGGGCAAGAATGTTTACTTTGAAATACGTCGCCGAGTTAAATAACGTGTAAGATTATGGAAACTTTCAGGGGACTAGACTACGTCTGCCCATACGTTCTGATTAATAAATGCTTAAGGCTAATTCTAGGCTTCCCTACACCTTATTCCCGGATATGGGTTGCGCATTAGTCTCTCCACGTGATAAACTATGTCGGCCCTAAAATTGTCGCTATGCGCCTTTTCCTACCTGCTGTCTCAGTAGCAGATTAGAACCTATTTGCGCATGCCGTCCGCTCGGCAGCGATGTCTTTCATCGATGAGGCCATCAACCACCCGGTCCCCATATTATCCTCATTCGAGCCGCACAATTCGTCACACAAAGAGCAGTTCCTGACTGCGGTGGATAACGAGAAGGAAAAGAATGCCGACGAACGGCCATTGGAAAATGCCGATGCCAGCGAAGATAGCGATCCGGACGTCATTCTCGTGGACTTTGACGAGGATGATCCGGAAAACCCGTTGAATTGGTCGCCAGTGCACAAATGGCTAATTGTGATTGTTGTTTCATGGATGGGTTTTGTCAGGTAAACTATTGATTTATCATCTCTCGCCAGTCTACTACTGCTTCATTGGACTAACCAAATTCTTCAGTGTCTTCTCGACAATGACAATCGTACCCACAGCACCCGAAATCCTCGACGAATTTCATTCACACAGTAAAGTCGACCAGACCCTCCTGGTCACAATCTGGGAACTCGGCGAAGGAATCGGCCCATTCTTTATCGCGCCGCTCTCCGAGAGATTCGGGCGGCTCCCAGTCTTCCATATAGGGAATTCTCTCGCGCTGCTCTGCTTAGTTGCTAGCGCGCTCAGCACCAACATCTCCATGCTGATTGCCTTCCGGTTCCTAACGGGATGCTTCTTGTCAATTCTCACCCTAGGCCCCGCCATCGTCGGCGACTTGTTCAAAATGGAACAAACTGGCCGCTCCATGGCAATAGTCATGGGCACTCAGATGATCGCAGATTTCATCTCGCCTATCGCGGGCGCGTATATCGCCGAAGACCTGGGTTGGCGATGGTCCATTTGGCTGGCGGCTATTGTGCTGGGATTCTTTAGCTTGCTTTTACTCTTTGTGCTGAGAGAAACGTACACGGTTGTTCTGCTGAGGAGAAAGGCGGAGCGGTTACAGAGTGAGCATGCGGGCGCAGACAACAACATCAACCTGAAATACCAGTCTAAGCATCAAGCCCGGATCGATGCATCTACTATGCTTGAAAGCGCTATCAAGCCAATGCAGATCCTCTTCCGATCTCCCATCCTTATCATGACAACGACATACATGGCCACAACCTACGCTCTGGTGTCATTAATCATGGCCACTCTCACAGAATCCATGGAATCGACCTACCCCAACACCTTCACCAGCGGCTCCATCGGGCTCACATTCCTCAGTCTCGCCATCGGCAACACCGTTGCTTTGATCTTCTACAGCTTTACCTCCGACCGCTACGTCATCCGTCAGAAAGAAACAAAAGGCGACGCATTCAAGCCTGAGTCGCGACTAGTACATCTGCTTCTTGCTGCTGTTATCCTCCCTGTGGGATTCATCATCTACGGATGGACGTTGAATTATCATGTCCAGTTTATCGTCCCACTTATAGGAGCGTGCCTGGCTGGCTTCAGCATGACACTTTCTGCCATTCCGGCTGAGACTTATGTTGTGGATACGTATGAGATTCATGGCGCTTCTGCTATCGCTGCTGGGGTTATCCTCAGAGCTATCGCGGGAGCATTCTTGCCCTTGATCGGCCCGGCTCTGTATGATAGTATTGGTCAGGGGTGGGGAAATACGGTGCTGGCTTTTATTGCAGCGGCTTTTATTCCGCCGTTGGGGGCGCTGATGATATATGGGGATTGGTTCAGAAGTAAGGAGCGGTTTGGGAGGGAGGGTCGGTAAATACATTAGTAGTAGATTTGATTGATTCGTGTTTGTCCATAGTAAATGTTGTATATACTCCATTCCCATCAAATATACTTGAGATTATTTAATCGAAATAAACAAATACCCTCGCCTCAATACTCTCCCGCAACTGCGTACTGTCACTGTTCCGAGGATCCTTAAACGCCGTATGAGGGACTCCTACATTTGCAGTATCAATATCTTCTACAGCAACAACCCTGTATTAGTTTATAATGATAGGGAGAGATCATACCTGCACTGTTCTCAGCCCGAGAATCCGCCTGCACAAAGGCAATCACCTCGTTAGCCTTCAACCCATGCCAGTAATACCATTTGTGGTTCTCGTCATAGTATATTCGAGTATTCTCATTGACATAGTCCCGGGCCACGATGTCCATTGCTGTGGTTTGCGATGCGTAGTCTACTGTACGGCGATCGCATACTGTGATTGGGAAATCGTATACTGGGCCGCGGATTGGTTTCCATAGGCTGGAAGAAATAAAGAGTAAGCTCCAGTGCTCTTTTGAGTGCAATTTCTATGGGAAGGCCGGGGATAGATATTACTTTACAACGATAAATCTGGAATAAGTCTTCGGGTGGATATTGAACTGCTTGATGCTGCATTTTGCTGCCGAGGAGGCCGTCATATCTATGTTGAGGGGACCAAATCAATCAGTCTTGGTTGTATGTACAATAGAATAGGGCATACCAATATGCACATAATCACTCGGTTGGTTCGTATCAAGCTCATGCCGCTCTATACCCTCAGACAGCCACAAAGGGTGTCGTTTGCGAGTCTTTCTCCAGTCTATCAGCTTAATTTTTAAACCCTGGAGGTCTCTTGCATTACTTACAGCATGCTCTAGTACTTCAACCCGCGCAGCATCCGGAAACAATTCCCGCGCAAGCAATTTGTACTGAGGATATAAGACTTCTTCCACTCTTTTGTCATAGTAATACTCCTCCGGGGCCAATGGACACTCAAGATGCAATTGAGTAAACCCAAACTTGGAGAACATCTCCTTCGACGGAATGTTTAGATTTCGAGTATTATGAATGGGAACTATACGGTCATCTGCAGCAGTGTTTGTTGGAGCAATGTCGGATTCATACTGAAAGTGCAGGTAGTATGGCTTCACATGTTGGTGCTGCTCGTCTTTGGCGAGGTATTGGATCTTTGCTTGAACTGTGTCTTCATCTGTGTCGATGGAAGTGGGAGCGTTTATTTCTCCTGGTAAGGGCATCTTCGACGATAATGCTCTTGTTCGAGTGTTCTCTGAGGGGTGAGGTCCAGTATCCAACGACAGGCAGCGGGTGCGATTCTTGATAGTTCTTTGCCGCAACACCCAATTGCCAACTGCTTTTTGAATTCGGGGCACGACCTTACGGTTCCGTATTGAAAGGCAAGACAAGACGACACATCACCGAGATGAAGGAATGCATCCTGAGCGCAGTTCAGGGCAAATCAGTCGACTACCCCGCAGTTTCTTGCGAATCAGGGCTATGACCCACCGGCTATACTACGTACTCGGGGGCCAGAATAAGATGATCCACACTTCAAACAGGATACCTTTCATGCCGTTGACTCGAAAATCAATTCCCTCATCTGCAATACGACAAACAAGTGAGGCGGTTACTATAGTCATTCCGTGCGATAAGATCTACTGTAGTATCCATAGCTTCATACCAAGTACAGTTTGCGCCATGTCTACTACGTAGGTAAGCCCAAGCTCCCCATGTCAAACATGTAACTGGTTAAAAAGGCGCTTATCTCCTTACATAGCTGACCGAAGTTGGAGATACGTACTTTCTACAACATGAGACGACCCACCCTAATCCGCAGCGGCCCGAAAGCCTATCTATCACTATCTAGGTGGTATGACCCACGCAGGTGGTCTTCATGAGCATCGAGACTTTCTTTTCATGAGACCTTGAAAGAGGCTTTACTGCAGCTGCACATTAATGCGCTGTAACTGGACGTGTTGCGCTAGATTGGGATCTCGTTCATACACTGTAGATATCGGACGTTTCAGTTGTTATCTGTAAGTTGTATCTCGGTGGGATGCTCCTCGGAGATGTAAGTGCCGATTACATCTCATCATTTAGTAGTCTTGTCTAAGAAGCACTCTGCATAGCGCGTGAGCCGTGCTGTGAACAGAAGGCTGGGACTGCATCCTTCATCGTTCGAAATGTTTGACCGGTATGGATTGGGGGTGATGCATTGCGCGATGCTGATAACCAATGCAGCTTGGTCTAATTCGTTCCGATTCCAGTGTAGATTGCAATTCTCTCCGGCTGTCACAACATTCTGCACTAGCCTTCAATAAGCGTAGTAATAGCCAGCACATCATTCACGTCGTAGATAGATAATGCTCTTATCTTGCTGTCTACGACCGGTTAGCGACGCGGTCCGCTCTGGGGCAGATTGCTGTTCGTACACCTGATGCTGGTTTCTTTTGCTTGGAAGCACTATCAAATGGAATTTGTACGCTTACGCCGATCAATTCTCACCTTTGTGTAACAATAGCTTCTCTGTACCCTCCATATCCATTTACTGGGTAACACAAGTCGTCAGGGTCAATGCAGATCAGTTGCGCCACAACCTTGGCGTGCGGAGATGCTGGTCCAGCCGAGGATGCTTGGCATATGTCTTGGGGTGCTTGTCTTGCGGATGCCAAGTGCTTATCCGGAGTTGGTAACTGTCAAGCATCAACATATCTAGGTTTCGCGAGATTGAAGAGGAAGACTGTGTGCCTACGACACTAGCTTGCGCATGGGACGAATGTGCATGGTTATCGATCGCCTCATCTTAGCTGCTATGTAATGATGCCATTTCGTAGATGCATGATACCAAGGAGCGCAGTGTACTGCACAGCTTCGAGGGATTTGGATCATTTGATCCTTCTGAACATTGAGCTACGAGGTCCGCAATAAAGTGAGGCATTTATGCAAGCCTATCACCGTGCGAAGAAGGCTATGGGATCCCAGATACGGCAGAAGATACGAGCAAGTGAAACACGCTTGATGAAGTATGTATAGACGATTGAACGAAACTTCCTGGAATAATGGACATTCAAGGCACAGCTCCAAGCAAGCGCTCGGACAGGGTTGAGACACGAGGGGAGGGGAGATATGGACGATCAAACTCCGTAGATAGCTTCATCACATACTATATGGCTTATCAGCATTAGTAGAATGTATCACTGCGTTCGCATTAGGATTCATGCATACTCGCGTGCTTTCACGGGCTTCATGCACAAGCAGCGAGTACGTATGGTTGTGGATAACTTGGTCAATCGCGGATCTAACTGGGGTACATCCGTCTCGAATGCTATATAAGCTCCTCTGACCATCGCCAACATCCACAAATATTGTCAATCCAGTCTCAGACAAGAACATCTTCATACATTACTATCCAAACTTCCCAGACAAGCACCCTTCAAGATGGTAAAAAGCGCCTCGCACATTTTCAATCACACAAAAGCATACCTAACTAATCGCCTTACAGCCTCAATCCACCTCTACCGCGCCCCAGGAGAGAGCCCAGCCCTGGAAGGCCATGCAGGAAGTCCAGAACCTGTTCAAGCCCGAGGTGCCCGCCGCTGCTGAGACCGCCGACAAGGCCGAAGAAGAAGAGCCCTTGAAGCTCAACTTGCTCCGGGCTCAATTCAACTCCGCCAGATCCAACATTGCCAATGTGGAGGAGAAGCACTAAACTGTGTCGTCTTACTTGGAAATGGAGGAAGGAAGGATGCTAGGGAGAAAGGTCTGGCCGGATCTATGTGCCATCCCTTTGTTATATAAGAATACTAGCTTGCCTTCGTGTCTTGTTGGGAGGACAATACAATATCTGTGCACGCAAGTTGAAGTATTCGTTGCGCTGTAGTGGATAGCCAATTCAAAGTTAGATATGACGAACCAGACGTTACTAGTTCCTCGTAAGTGCCTAGGCACAGTTCAGTGCAATGCTACCAGTAATGTTACTTCTTCTCCCTTTTTCTTTCTGGGCTTTCTTTCTTCGCTGAGGCACTACATATCTTCGCTTTCTTCACATGTAGATATGAATATATCTGCACTCGCAGGCCTGCGAAGTAAATCACTTCACAAAGATAGGATTGCTTTGAGGAGACAAGAGATGTTCAACATCTCCAGAAAACAGACAGCATTCCCAATCATTGTGGACGACAATATCGCTCGCCATTACAAGTCGAGGGCACATCACGGCGGCTTTGATTCCGTCATACTGTTTATCATCACAAAATGTACGAAGTCGAATAGCAAACAAGTCTAGACACGTATATGTAGTGGAAACAGACCGGGTAACCCCCCTCCGCTATCTCCACTCTAATTGCTGACAGGGACCAGTAACGCCCACGAGAGATTGACCCTTTGTTGATCTGTAGTACTTTCTGACACTCCACTGCACCATCTCCACTTTTTACGTTCACTTCCTACATCGATAGGAATAGATAGGTCCGGAGAAAGGAGAGGAGGGGGTTGGGACTCCGACGGCCCACCGACGGAAGGATTCTTTGCCAGGGTCATAACCTGATAGCATCCTTCCACTTCAATACAGAATACAGGGAGTATCTACGCGGTATGTTACAATCAACCCACAGCATATGACGGACGATAGCTTTGATTGAGTCTAGCGTCTGGCTTTGGTCGAAAAGACCATGCAGGAAGGGGTTTCTTACGCACACGCTTGTGTGTTCATTGCTGGATTGAAACCTACCGGATCCCAAATATGGAACCAATGATGTGATTTTTCTTTTGTTTAGGTCGCAAATTTGAGGGGCGCAACGTTCTAGAGCTCTTATCTCTGGACTGTGGTCACATGTTTCTCCATATTGTGATATGGATATGTGTATGGACTCCTACGTGATAGCAAATCCTCACCGGGACAACCTGTTTAGGATGGCTGGACGATCAACAGACTTACATTGGTGATCATCAATAACAGGTGCGTTTGATTATTTGAAGAAAATGCTGAGTGGAAGCATCTGCAGTATTGAGGGACTACATTGTTCATGTCTATGCTCGCAAACTGATTACTCATGTCGAACGTGGCAACCCGTAAGCCATTATCCTCACGGTCAGCGCTACTGCTGTGCGGGCCCCAATTACACTCAAGCAGACAGCTACTTCTATAAGCAACTTCTAAAGGTTGATAGCTAATTTATAAGTGTTTCAATGGCGTCAATTATGTGAGCTGTCTGAATTTCAGCTGTAGACAACCTGCAATAGGACCCGCGGAAAAGGCATCCACCTGTTCCACATTTCCTGTGAATTCATCGTCCAAGTAAGTCTCGTAATCCGTATATACTGTTGCAAGCAGCTCTTTTATGACTTGATATGATTACATTGTCAGCACGTTCTTCGATCGAGGAGAAGTGGGACATACCACGCATGGAGAAATGAGTGCCAATGCATACTCGCGCGCCGCTTCCAAAGGTCCAAACCCACTTCCGCATCTCCGCGACCGTGTCGCCATCTGCTTCGAGCCATCTACCCGGGTGCCATTCCTCCGGGGACGGAAAAGTAAACGGGTTGAAATGAAGGGCCCAGGCAGAGGAGCTGACGATGGTGCCGCCAGGGACATCAAATTTCCCGGCGAGCCGGCAGCCAGAGTCCGGCACGACACGAGGAAACGGGCCAGGACAGGGTGCCCGTGTCCGCATGGTCTCGGTAACGACAGCATCAAGCACGGGTAAATCCGCAAGGCGATGAGCCAGGCTCTGATCGCTAGGTTCGGCCAGACTGAGGAGCTCTTTCCGGAGCGCCCGCTGGCAGTCTGGATGTCTCGATAGCTCGTACATGGTATATGCCAGTAACGTTCCCAGGCCAAGATGACTTGCCGAAAGATGATCATCGCACTCAACAGCGATGTAAGAAGCCATTTCGTTACGCGGCATCTTGGGGTTGGCGGTTTTGAAAGCATCATAAAAACTGTCATACAGGCTTGCGGTGGAAGAAGGCTTGGTGGGATGCCTCCTGTAGGCATCTGTGATCGCTCGTGTGAGCCACGCTTGCCATCGAACAGTGGCATCGGGATTGGGCAGCCTGTTGCCGATCAAGCTTGCAAGGTAGGCAAACGGCCAGTAGAGGGTTGTCCGCACGGCAACTATTTTGGACGCAGCTGAGGCCAACGTTGTGAGATCGTTCTCAAATCCCGGGTCCCGTAAAGTATCGGTCGCGTTCTCACTGCCAAAGAGCCACCCTGAGGCAACGTCAAGCGTGCAGCATTTCGCCTGCTGATAGACATCGACGGAGGTACTACTGCTTGCCCACTCTGTCATTTTCTCTTTAAGGTGACTCGATATGCGGGAGAGGACACTGCCCAGGGTTTGAGAGTTGAGAATGTACGAATTGGAGTAAGGGCGAGAAAGCATACGTTTACGCTCCCTGTGCTCGTCGTTTCCTGTCATAGTGACCATGTAGCCAACCCTGGAATCGGTTAGATATCGACATGTGTCATTCAATCTGGGAGTTGCGAATGCATTAGGAACTTACTGGTCGAACAGTTCGTGGTAGAAGGACTCATCTTTGTCGAACTTGCTGCTGTAGATTGTGCGAACCCCATCATCAATGCAATTCACGCTCACATCACGGGGTCCAATTCGAATGACTGGGCCAAGGCGACGATGGAGATGGATTCGAGTCCGATTCTCCAGATTCCGCCATCGGAGCGACAGCAACCACAGGCGTGAATAGGGGGCGGAGAAATGAGCATTGGGAATGTCTTTCAAGCTGGAATTGTGGTTGCGATGGAATGAAGCAACGATCCATGATACGATAAAAGTGAAGCCGACGACCACGGCAAGCATGTCTTGAGGAGAATAATATGAAGAATCTAGGGCTAATCTGAGCGGCGACTGCGACTGGAAGCGTCCCACCCGCAGTACTTATTCCTCCATCATAAAATCGCGCGTCAATTGCAAATTCAGTGATCCGATATGGAGCCAAAATTTGGTCTAGCATGACCGAAGGACATAAGTACAGAATGCACTCTAGATCTTCTTGGTCACCTAGGGTCGGAATCCCACCAGACCATCTCATTCGGCATTCTTGCTGTGCCGTGCCATCCGCGCTATTTCTAAGGAACTGTCGGGCTGTTCCGAATGATATTTGGAAGGAACAAGTGGACAAGCGGGGTTAGAATACACAGGTTGCGTAAAGTCAAGTCTGCACGGGTTCCATTGTATGGCGTGGCATTAGTGGCTTGGTCTTGTGTGCGCCAGACTGCTGACCTGTATAGTTCCTTTTCTTCAACTTTGTTGCCCCTGCACGCAACATTTGACCAGTCCTCTACTCGCCTCTGTTGTTATATCCTCTCTATAATATCAGAATCAGTTGTCGATGGAACCGCTCAACTCGCGAATTTCATTAAGTCCCTCAGATACATCAGCGGATCTCCGTCTCGGTTAGCATAGTTCGGACCACTGCAGCTCCAATTTCCAGTCACAGCGCATTGAATTCGCGTATCTTTGATCAAAAGAGAGCTATCACGTACAGTTTGAAGACGGAAGACATGGGAGAAGCGCTTCGTTTCGATTCTGTTGAGCTCATTTCGGACACAATGGAAAAGCCGCTATTGGACAATCGCTCATACCGAGTGATTCGATTACCCAATCAACTAGAAGTCCTTTTGATACACGATCCAGACACTGACAAAGCTGCCGCTGCTATGGATGTCAATGTTGGTAGCTTCAGCGACCCGGATGATCTGCCAGGGACCGCGCACGCGGTGGAGCATCTGTGTTTTATGGGAACGAAAAAGGTGAACAGACGATATGCAGAGCTATTAGTAGCCCAATACTAAAATTTCTGTCTAGTATCCAGAAGAGACCGAATATAGCACTTATCTGGCCAAGTATGGTGGCTCCTCCAACGCCTATACGGCCTCGACATCGACCAATTACTATTTCGAACTATCTGCAAGTTCAAAATCCAATAGTTCCGGGTCATCCGCAAACAAAAAGGGGCCTAATGTTCCAATTTCGAAGAATATGTCACCTCTCTATGATGCTCTCGATCGCTTCTCGCAGTTCTTTATCCAACCACTCTTTCTCGCCGATACCCTAGATCGCGAACTGCGCGCTATGGATTCAGAAAACAAGAAGAATCTCCAAAGCGACACTTGGCGCCTTGAACAACTGGGCCGCAGCACTTCTAATGAAAAGCATCCCATTGTTAAGTTTGCTACCGGCAATTATCAGTGCTTGTATGAAGAGCCGCTATCGCGAGGCGTCGATATTCGGAAGCGCTTCATCGAGTTTTACGACACTCACTATTCGGCGAACCGTATGAAGCTTGTCGTTCTGAGTAAAGAACCACTGCAGGAGTTAGAGGGCTGGGTTCAGGAGCTCTTCTCTAAAGTACCGAATAAGAATCTGCACCGTTTGAGGTGGGACGGTATACCGGTCTTAACTGAATCCGAGCTCACGACACAAATATTCGTTAAACCAGTGACAGAGCAAAGACAGTTAAACATTGATTTCACCTACCCCGATGAAGAAGCTCTCGTCGACTCCCATCCCAGTCTATATCTGGAGCATCTAATTGGCCATGGAGGTCCTGGTAGTGCTCTTGCTTATCTGAAGGAGCTGGGTCTTGCGGACTCTTTGTCGGCTGGGGCTTCTGCTTTGTGCCCTGGTTCAGCACTTTTCTGTATCGACGTGAGGCTCACAGAGAAGGGCGTTCGTCAACACCGGGAGGTCATAAAAATTGTCTTCCAATATATTGCTATGCTGAAAGAGAACCCACCGTCTGCCTGGATATCGGATGAAATAAGCCGCCTAGCTGAGGTGGAATTCAAATTCATGCAGAAAGGCCCTCCATCCCGAACTGTTAGCGGTCTAGCCCAGCTCATGCAGAACACATGTATACCACGCGAGCAGTTACTCAGCTATCCTCTCATTCGCAACTTTGATCCGGAAAATATCCAGCGTGGTCTATCGCACCTACGCCCTGATAATTTTCGATTATTTATTGTCGATCAACAGTTTCCGGAAGATTGGAACGAAAGGGAAAAATGGTATGGGACTGAATACAAGCTCGAAAAGATTCCCAGAGATCTCATACAAGAGCTTTGGACAATTGCACAGGCACCAACTCCAGAGAGACCCCCTAGACTTCATTTACCAGCTGTGAACGAGTTTATACCTCAACAACTTGATGTTGAACGAAAGGATGTCGCAGAACCAGCTCGCCAGCCTACGCTAATCCGTCATGACGACCATGTCCGTGTGTGGTTCAAAAAGGATGACCAGTTCTGGGCGCCCAAAGCCAATATAAAGATCCTTCTTCGGTCTCCCACGATCGCACTCACACCAATGCATGCTGTCATGACGCGTTTATACGTTGATTTGGTCGAGGACAGCCTTGATGAATACGCTTACAATGCGGATAAGGCCGGTTTGAGCTACAGAATGTCCGAAAACGCACAGGGACTAATTATAGAGCTGAAGGGTTTCCACGACAAGATGTCAGTGCTTTTGGAGAAAGTATTACTCGCAGTAAGAGATTTGGAAGTTAGACAAGAGCAATTCGACGTGGCGAAGGAGAGGGTGTGGAAAGCATATAAGAATTTTGACTACCTGGAGCCGTACCGACAAATCAATACTTTCTCGCGCCTGTTGATCAACGAAAGATCCTGGGCTCCGTCTCAGCTACTCGAGGAACTTCCAGCAGTGACAGCTGAAGATGTACGTGCATATATTTCGCAGCTGCTGCGACAAATGCACATCGAGGTCCTCGTGCATGGCAACCTATATAAAGAAGATGCACTAGGTATAACAAAACTTGTGGAATCAACACTCCGCCCACGTCCATTTCCAAAAAGCCAATGGCCATCCCGCCGCACGATTGCGCTACCAAGCGGGGCAAACTATCTCTACGAGCGGGTACTAAAGAACCCGGATAACGTCAATCATTGTCTCGAGTATATCATCTCAGTCGGCTCTGTCTCGGATCGTTCGCAACGAGCCAAGTTGCTACTTTTCTCCCAGGTTGTCACAGAACCATGCTTCAGCACACTGCGCACAAAAGAGCAACTCGGATATATTGTCAACTCGGCTATAGGAGTCTACGTAACGACTGGTACGTGGCGCATCCTCGTGCAAAGCGAGAGGGAATTTAAGTACCTCGAAGAGCGCTGTGATGCGTTTTTGGAAAACTTTGCGCACGAGTTGCGCACGATGACTGACGAGATGTTTGAAGAGCACAAGGTCGGATTGATCAACAGAATCTTGGAGAAATTGAAGAATTTGGACCAAGAAACGTCGCGTTTTTGGACTCATATTATGAGTGAGGTGCTTGACTTTGAGCAGGGTATGTTTGCTACTATCAGACTCATTCAACAATTGCCCTGTAAATTGACTAATTGGGTCGAACAAAACTCCAGTATATCAAGAGGTGGAGCACATTGAACCACTTACGAGGAAAGATATACTCGAGTTCTTTAACCAGTATATCCATCCCTCTTCTTCAACTCGAACGAAACTATCGATACATCTTATTGCGCAGGCACCTAGTAGAGATTCTGCAGCTACAGGATACTGTGCTGCTGGTGAAAAGAATGTTGACACTTCAGCCTTGAGGAGAGATCAAGACGCTGTAGCAGTCAACGGACATAGACGTTCAGTGTCCCCCGCCACTATTCCGATTGATAAAGTCAGAAAATGGAAGGCAAGTCTGCCACTTTCGTCGGCTGCAACCCCAGTGAAGGGCCTGACCAACTTCGAAGAATGATGTCTATTATCAATGCCTTCCAGTGGCAAGGAGAGTGAGTACTATATATGCAGGCATAAGTCGTAAATGAAAGGATTGTCTGTAAATTATTTCCTTAGAAGTAGAGACAGCATTGATGCTTAAGCACCGGTGATTTTCATAATTCACCTGCTGCGCTGCAGATAGTTACTACAATTACACTAACACGCATGCATTTACAAGGTGTAACGCGCTCATCTTCGTCGTGGATCTCATGTAGAAAATGTGTATTGGTTTAAGTATCATAATCTGCATCCTGCTCTGACCTCAAGAGAGCAAGTGCCTCGGAGGCCTTTATTCGACTCGACGGTACAAATCTCATCAATTGCCGAATGACTAAGGCAAGACGAGTAAGTATCGGGTCCGGATCCCTTCTACTGAGCCTCCTGTCTAGTTCAGACACCTCAACTTCTTTCAAGGCAATTAGTAAACAAGCCTTCTATCATGGAAGCACAATGGTTTATTTACTCACCTTCTGATTCTTTTAAACCACGCTTAAAGTTCATCTTCATGCGTTCCCATATCGGCCGCCAGTCCTTCGGCAACTTCCCCACAAAGCGGATCATCTGTGAGACCAGGACTTCATCTTCGCCTAGGTATTGGAAGGGATATGACCCAAACATGAATGCATGGATCTCAATGTGATGTCAAATTCATATTCTCTGCAGAAAAGGCAGAAATGGGGTACTTACCATACAGCCAGCGCGCCATAAATCAACACGATAATCAAAGCAATCAGTGAAAATCAGCTCAGGGACCCGCAATTGCCCTGGCTGAGCAAGTACTTTAGGCTCGTTCCCCCGCAGGAACGCTTCCCCAAAATCGAGAATCCGAATATCTTCTTCATCTTCGTCTACCCAGGTTTCCCATTCTGCGGATTTTACTAATTGTTTCGGTAAGCTGTTGTCTAGTGGCTTGCCGTCGAGTCGAGCTAGTTCTTCTACTTCTGGAGATCCGATGACTGCGAAGAGCTCTTCTTTCGAGGCGTGCGAGAAATTGGTACAGCTGAACGCGATGTTTCCGCCGCTTATATCTGTCTGTGTCAGTATAGTAGCGTAGTGGCATAGTCTTTGTGGGTGAAGTACCGCCATGACCCATACCGGCTTCATGAATCAAGCTGATAGCCTCTAGAAGCTGCTCCGACATATCCGAAGAATAATGTCCATCTCAAGGTCATCCCCAAGGGAGTAGTAGTCATCAACAAACTTACTGACAGAAGGACCGAGCAATTCGAATACAATACACAAGTGGGTACCATTAGGGCCCTGATGAGTAAATGAGTCGAAAACGGAAACAATGTATTTTGCAGACGGCTTTCCCTGGGAACGGTCTGCTAATAACTGTAGATTGTAAAGTCCTCGAGAGCCCTGGGAGGTATGTGCTCTCATGATCTTCACTGAAACCCATTGGTTTTTCCTGATAACCCGTTACTTATAGTAGAGACATGTAGACGTTACAGTTGGTAACAAACTCACTCTTTATCGTACGCAAGCCACACGGTGGAAAACCCTCCCCAACCCAATTTATGGTGAATTTGATAGCGATCATCCTTGAAGGTGTCTCCCAGGGAGACTGGGTGGTATCCACCTGGTCGATACTTTGAGAGCTTTTCCTGTCGGACAGGTCTTCCATGACCTGATGGTGGGTTATGACGACGGAAATTAGAAGGTTTGTTCAAGTGGGTTTTACTGGCGAACTTCCTCGACTGCTTGCCTCTTATCGAAGGTGTAGTTCTTTCTTTTAACTCTGTAGCTGACGCCTGCTATGTAGTATTTAGAATGCTTCGGGGTTGTATCGGGGCTGTGGGACCTCTCTAGACTGGGTGGGGGAAAGCCATTTGTGGGGCCCGACAGGATCTTAGTGTCGATCATAGTAGCATTCCGGACTTGCCCTAGATACTTGATATTGCCATATTCTTTGGCTGCTGGAAACCAAGCCCCCTACTCCATTGTCTTTGACTTGTAGAAGAGCTGGTGGAATACTACTAGTTCATGGATCATTGAAAATTTTCTTACTGAGTCAGGTCCGATGCAAATAATAGCACAGTGCTAAGATACTAATAGGCAATATATATCTTCAACGAATGTAACTATTTAAGTAATCAAGTGCCGGTGGCAAGCACAACAATGATGTGAATTGGGCAACAGAGCCATAGAACCGCATTCTTACACTATCTATTACAACCCAAGAGCACAAATTTCCAAAAGTGCATAATGTATCCTGACGCACATTGAGGAGTTAATGAATTTGAAAGTAGAAAGTACATGGAGAATATCTATATATGCTACAGATGGCCCGCACATATACTGCTGGTGGTAAGGTATATTTTGGAAGCTGAATGCATGGCTTGTTATCCAAATTGTTTTCTCTATCTTTACTGATCGAACGCTTCTAGTCCTTCTGTTTCCCTTGAGAAAATGAAAAGAAGACAGTTAAGGGTTTGCCTCCTCTATTATCTATGCAGTATCGAAGGAAATTGTGACTGGCGACAATGGAGTACTGTGTTTAAGTGAGAATCTCCCATTTGTATTCTTACCTATACGGGGTGGATACTTGACATGCCCAACTGCTATCAGAGTTTCTGGGTTCTTCCTTACTTGAATGAAACTGACATTCATATCTCTCATGGTAGGTAAACTCTAAGGAAGCGCTGTCAATTACAGATATAGCAAACCCGGAGCGATACATAGAACATAAAAGTGGTGTTGCAAGCACTTTAGTATAGAAGAGACTCCAGCTCCCTCTCGAAGAGGTTGCTCTGCTGGTCACAAGTTTCTACTGCTTATACCAGGCCGAGAACAATACACCAACGTATGTACAGCTAGTACCCACACTTCTGCTACATATTATCGCTCGCAAGAATCATCAAACAATGCATGGTATTATCACACGATCAATCATTAAGAGACAAAGCACATCTATACCTCAATCTTCATCTCCCGCAATATCCTCGATACCAACTTCTTCTGATCCGCCGGATTCAAGTCGTGCTCATCAATCGTAGTCAGACACCGTCCCACAGCTACTGTCGCCTTGACGGAAGTTTCGCCTCCGCTAGAACAGTCGACCCAGACTTTACCATTTCGTCCCACGGCGATCTCAAAGCCGCCCGATTTTTCTAACTTCTTGCCCAGTTCCTCCAACACTACCAACCCGGCCACACCATCCTGTGCGCCCGAAGAGGATGAGCTCGCCCTCATCAACCTAGCAGCCATGCCAGTAGAAACATCGAACACCATTCCCCCATTCAATTGACCGAGTCCTCCAGGTTCAGCCTTGCCCGTTGCAGGGTTCACACAGGCCAGCTCAACCTCCGCGCCCGCGCCCAGACCCACCGAGAGCACACGCGCGTAAACCAGATCGCCTTGTTTCAGCATCGGCCGAGTCTTCTTCGTCGCACCTTCGAAGGATAGCTGTCCCAGTACCGCATGGGGCGCTTGCGGCGTGATCATACAGTGAAAATAGTCCACGCTGGAGTGGTGGACCTGTGCGATGACCAGGTCATTAACAGTAGGAATGTAGCGGCGATTCGGAGTCGAGAGGATAGATACAGCGTTCCGTTTGGTGTCTGTGGAGAGAATGCCGGCTTGTGTGGCTGTGAGGACATGGCTAGGGGAAGATGATGCTTGAGGGGAAGAAGAGGGCGGTTGCGAAAGTAGACGGAGACCGGGGCCAAGTCTCAATGGCGCGGAATTGGTGGATGGGAGGTATTCTGATGGGATCTCGTCCCCGGGGAGAAGGATCAAGGGAGATGACATGTTGGATGTGTGTTTACCACTGGGGCCTGCAGTGGGTGTTGAAGATTCACGAATGCTGGAGTGGTTGACCGCGACGGGCAAAAAGAAGCACAAATCCAAAGGCTTATCGGGTGGTGCTTATCTCCACGTGATCTAGCTCAATCTAGATTGAAGATGAGACGGACGCCATGATGGTCTGAGAGTGAACTATACAGGGTATACTTGCTGTAAGACTGTAGTGCCTGAGAAATCGCCTTCTCATTTTTCTATATTAATTGATATATGTGGAGAGAGATCAATCCCATTAGATTTTCGACGCTACTGCTGCATGACTGCCGGACTGTAGTTGCACCGCCACATTTCCTATCGATAAGCCGTCAGCCACAGCTGCCCGCCAATTGCAAACCAGCCAAAATTTTTTTCCTTCGGGGCAAAACGAAGCGCGGCGGTTCGAGAAGCAGCAGCCCGACTTACTTTGACTTGATTTCCTCCTCTTCCTTTTCCCTCCTCCCCCAATCCCCTTCATCTCTTTTCACATCCTACCGTCAAGATGAGCTCCGAAACTAACGGCACTGCTGAGAGATTCGCCATCGGTATCTCCTTTGGCAACTCCTCCAGCTCCATTGCCCGCATCAACGCCGTATGTGAATTTTGTACCCTTCCCATGCGGATGCCCGCCCCATTGGGACTTTTACACCACCGCTGTGCAAAATTGCGACAGACCGCTGACTTGATTTGGATCATAGGAGGGCAAGGCTGAGGTTATTGCCAACGAGGAGGGAGGTTAGTATATTCTAATGCGCTTTGGAAAAAGTCTTGTATTCGAACACTTCGACTCACCCATCACCAGACCGTCAAATCCCTACCGTCCTCTCCTACATTGATGGCGAGGAATACCACGGTACTCAGGCTAAGGCCCAGCTTATCCGCAACTCCAAGAACACCGTTGCCTACTTCAGAGATTTCCTTGGCAAGGAGTATGTCAACTCGTTCCGATGACAACTAGGCGCACATGCTGACGGACTTGCACAGCTTCAAGTCGATAGACCCCACTCCCTGCCACAACTCGGCCCACCCCCAACAGAGCGACTCGACCGTTGCTTTCTCCATCTGCGATACCTCCAGCGAGACCCCCAACACCGTCACCGTCTCCGAGATCACAACCCGCCATCTCCGCCGTCTGAAGCAGTCTGCCGCTGATTTCCTTGGAAAGGAGGTCAACGCCGCTGTTATCACTGTCCCCACCGACTTCAAGGATGCTCAGCGTGAGGCTTTGATCGCCGCTGCCAACGCTGCTGGCCTTGAGGTCCTGCAGCTCATCCACGAGCCCGTTGCTGCTGTCCTTGCCTACGATGCTCGTCCGGAGGCTGTCGTGACCGACAAGCTGGTCGTTGTCGCCGACCTTGGTGGCACTCGCTCCGATGCCGCCGTCGTTGCTTGCCGTGGTGGCATGTACACCATTCTTGCCACTGCTCACGACTACGAGTTGGGCGGTGCTCAGTTGGACAAGATCATTATCGACCACTTCGCTAAGGAGTTCATGAAGAAGCACAAGACTGACCCCCGCGAGAACGCTCGTGGTCTGGCCAAGCTGAAGCTGGAGGGTGAGGCCACCAGAAAGGCTCTCAGTCTCGGCACCAACGCTACTCTGAGCATCGAGTCTCTGGCTGACGGCATTGACTACGGCTCTACCGTCAACCGTACCCGCTACGAGCTGCTCTCCGGCAAGGTGTTCGCTCAGTTCACCGGCCTGATCGACCAGGTTGTCAAGAAGGCCGGTCTCGATGTCCTGGACATTGATGAGGTTCGTTCCGACCAAACCTTTCTTATTCGTCCTGCTCGCAGCCCGATCCTAACTTTTGCAGGTTATCTTTGCTGGTGGTACTTCCCACACCCCCAAGATCGCCCAGTTGGCCCGCAACATCTTCCCCGAGAAGACCACCATCCTCGCTCCCTCCACCTTCATTGGTGCCATCAACCCCTCCGAGCTCGCTCCCAGAGGTGCCGCTATCCAGGCCTCCCTGATCCAGGAGTTCGACAAGGAGGACATCGAGCAGTCCATCCACCCCATGGTTACCGCTACCCCTCACCTTCAGAATGCCATCGGTGTCGAGTTCACCTCTGGCGAGACCGTTGACTTCAAGCCTCTCCTGAACACCGAGACTGCTCTCCCCGCTCGTCGTACTGCGCAGTTCTCTGTCCCCAAGGAGGGTGGCGATGTCTTCGTCCGTGTCTGCGAAGGTGTTCGTGAGATCAAGGTTACCAAGCCCGAGCCCAAGCCCAAGGAGGAGAAGACCAAGACCGAAGATGATGAGGATGACTCCGACTTCGACTCCGATGAGGAGGAAGAGGAGGAGATCCGTGAGCTCGTCTGGAAGACCGAGAAGCCCATTGCTGAGCTGGCCGTCAAGGGTGTCAAGGCTGGCAGCAAGGTTGAGCTGATGATCCACGTCAACGCTGACCTTGGTCTGCAGATCACGGCCAAGGAAGTTGGCGGCCAAGGTGCCGTCCGCGGTGCTGTTGAGGCTCCCAAGGCCTAGATTTTCCTTTAACGTATAATTTTCTTGCTCATATATCTTTGAAGATCTCAAGACTATAACGATGCTTTCCTTCTATGAATCGATCTAGATTTTTATAACCATTGTTGAACGACTCCTGTGACCCCTGTGGCATCTTTGCAACTAACCTTGCATTCATTGTGTGCACCGGGCAGGACTCAGGGAATATGTTCTGCATTCTGTCTTGCTATGACTTATTGATGATGATGTATCGATGAAGGCTTCTAAAAGTATATAGAGCTGTTTTGAAGCACAATAGAAAGCCGATGTGTTTCCAGACTCACTTACTTAACATATTCAGAAAGTAACAATGTATGGGACTAAAGTTGTGCCGTAGGATTTCACTAGCTGCTTCTGTAGGGCACATTCTTCCACCTCCTTGTGACCCTAAGGTAGCACACGCAAGCGCAATTATAATCATAGATAGAATATACTAAGTAGAATAGTAACAAAAGATCAGTGGTCTCACAACCTATCCGTTTCACAACATTGAGCTTAGGAAGTATAATCAGCTATTCTTATACATTATGCATACAGTTTATTTCTCAGTGCCGACTATTATATTGAGAAGGATGAAGTGTCACGTTCTGTTAGTCTTCATGTATCAGTTCATTCTTTTCAGATAAATTGTATTACAATTAAGGGCGGATAGATATAAAGTAGCAAAGACAGTATAATACATGAAACTTGGCCGAGTTAAAACAGACATCCATCATCGAAGAGACATTAATGTTAGCATGCGCGGATGAGCCCACTTGATCTCTCGCACAGGAGGGTGTGACTATCAACCCACAAAGAACAAGTCATAAACAAACAAATCCATACTCCGGTAGACGCACCCTTTGGCGTTGACAGGGCGACTATAAGGCTTGCGGCCGATAGGTAAACAATTGGCGGAGGCCGGCGTACTATAGTAGGTATTGACGAAGTACTATAGCCCATTTCTTTCAATTCTTCCTGAAAAATATCAAAGAAAGAAGACCATGTCGAATTTATGGCGCAGTCTCCTTGTTGCTTCTTACGCTGTTTGAGCGTGCGGACGAGAAGAAGCCCCGGCGACGGTGCTCACGACCACTGTATCCCCTCTCCTTGCGCCCGACAGCACCACCCATGCAATAGAACATGCATGCAAGCAGCAGGCAAGCCACAGCGGTCCACATGAAAGCGAAAGCCTTGACACCCACGCTGGCGCTCTGGCCATTGGCGTTGAACTTGTTGCGTCCTTGGACGTAGACAGCACTTGAGATTGTTAGTGAAGCTCTGATTTGGTTTCTGTGCTAAACTTACGTGATAAGGCAAGTCGTGATGATCTGGAAAACCAAAGCGATCCAAGCCATCAGCGAAGAGACATAGCTTCCGATGCGCGTGCACATGGCCAGGAACCCAGTGAACAGCGACACCACGCCGAAGAAGAGCGCGATGATGAGGAAGGGGAACGAGAACCGAGATGTGAGGAAGTAGTGGTTCGTTCTGTGGAATGTTAGATTGGGATCGTACGACGGAAAATCTGGCAATTGATTGCTTTCTTACCCGATGAAAGCAGAGGGAATGTTCTCAGTGGTGTCAAAGTTGCGCCGGCTCGGGGGATCAAATGGAAAGTCTGGGTAGGACGATCCGCATTCGTTCTTTCCATTGGCCGACACTGCACATAACTCCCAGAAAGTCCAGCGAGATAAGGACGGGGCACCTGGAATATTGCTTGTGTCGACCTGCAGGAAGAAGATTTCGTTCAAAGGGCGCGAGTTTCTCGCTCCGCCCAAAAATGTCAGGAACATCAACAGAAGAGCACCGGCCGTGAAGAACAGGCCTAGGAAGCCCATTGCAACTCCTAGAGTACAATTGGTGTCAGTTTAGTTGTTGTGCGACGCAGCAGGCACTCATCCTGCAGGGGATATACTCACTGCTGAGAGCCATTGTAACGGTGATTTGTCAAAATTTCTGAGTTCGCTATTGAGTCGGTAATTGGAAGAGTCCAAGCACAAGCTAAGTTATTGATTGCGAACAGGTATCTATCTATCATTCGAGAGAGAGATGCGAGACCCTATAGATGGGGAAGAGAAACAAGAACAGACGTAGGATCGAAAGGGTCTGTCTGCGAGGGAGTGGATATCCGGAGAAGCCGGTGGAGGAATGTGGGAGGAGGGGGGGAAATAAAGTACCAGGGGAGCCATAGTAGTGATATAATGATGAGGGTGACCTTCAACAATGAGCGTAACTGCGAATCAATGTTTTCTTTGGATCGACGAGGCACAAACTGGCCAGCCATGACGGCGTCGACGTCATGGTTGCAGCAGGCCCCGCTAACTGTCCTCGGCTAGTCTAAACCTTAGCGTTGCGCTAGTTCATATCGGGATAAGGCTGCCTGAGGGCCTGGGCGCTGAGGCCCATCATTCCTTATCCATGACGTTGTCGAACTCCCTCTTCCGCTGCAACTTTCGTCTTCTGAACAAACGTTGCACCACCCACCGTCCATCCATTGAGTTGGGTACCCGCCTTTCCTCCTCTCGGATCGACGTGGATCACTCGAAAGCCAATGCGGATTTTTTCTTCTGTCGACTTCGTCACCAGACCCTGAAGACAAACCCTGCTGCCTACCGTGTCCTGTCCACACCCCCATACCCCCCCATCGCTCCCTACCGATCCATTGACCACTGCCGGGCCAAAGGTACAACCATCCGATCTCCCGAGGATTGCAACTAACCCGCTGGGTCCTTGCTCACAATGGCTACTTGGGCTTACCCGCCTCTACCCCCAGAGCGCCTAGAACAGGAAGTCGACTCCGCGTTGGTATGCCCTGTTTTATTTCTCCGTCCCCGGTGAACCTCAAATTTGAGCCGACCCGATGGCGCACATGCATCATCGATAGGGCGAGGACAGTACTGACTTTTTTTGGGCAACTGGTATAGGCGAAAGAGCTAGAATGGCTATTACGTTCGCTGCAAGACTCCCTTACCTCGCTACGAGAGGGCCTCCATGAATGCGCGGCTCTATTGGCACCCAAAGAGCCAGGATCAACACTCGTCCTCTCTTCTCTACGCTCTGAAAATGTGAAAGGCTTTGTGACTCGGGTTGGGACAAAGATCGTGAAGGGCGTATGTTGTCACTACTCACATTTATTGCTTATGATGCAGCCCAGTGACATGGACCCGCATCCTTTGCGCGCTATGGCCGTTGTTTATCACAACGTAGCGCTTCCAGGATGACGCTAATCAAATCTCTCTATAGGACATCCAACTCCGTCTTAGCTCCCTTGCCTCGCGGGGCTCAGCCACTACCCGCTTGTGCCTGGCAAATACCCCTACAACACCTGAACTCATTCTAAACCAACTAGTCTCGGTCAAAAACTTGGTCAATCAAAGTCTCGACATTGTCGATGTAAGCACCTGGACCGGTGACCCGCTCAACGCGGGCTTCATCTACAGCCAACTGCACCTCCTGCGCGAGACGATCAGTGAAGCACGGCAGATGCTGAAGGGCGAAAGCGATAAGTTTAGAGGCAAGTGGTGGGAGACAAGTGCGCAAGAGGAGGTAAGTGGCTATACTTTTGCTCTCTTCGTTCTAGATCATAAGGCTAAGCTGTAGTCGTAGATGTTTGACCCCCCGCTACCGGCATACTTATCATTCCATCTATCCATTGCGGACTCGGCTTTAGTCCTGTATTTGAGGACGCTAGAATCGAACACCCCCGTCCATACGCCAACTGCATTCGCGACTGACATATCTCTCACCGGGTTCAATCTGCGGGATCGGTTGTTTGGAAGTCGCCATCGTCCTCACGACGAGGCAGGCGATGTCTTCACCTGGAAAGGGGATGAAGTCAAGGTGAGGGAGAAGATCCGCGTAGAGAGCCAGGACCCTAGCCTTATGGCCGTGATGGCCAAACTAACCGCTCTTGAGCACGAAGTGCTGAAGTGGATATCAGCTCTCAAGGTGCTCATGGGTAACGAAGATACGGACAGCGAGTCTCAGTAGTATATCCAGCTAGTATAACAGCTTTGTAAATAGGTCTATTATTAAGCATCCAACATTTCCTCCCACCTCTTGATCTTTGATGCATGCGCCTCTCCATTCCTTGTGCTTCCTGAGGCACCAATTCGTTCTATGATTATGTAACGCTCTGTTACTTGAACAGCCAATAGGAGCTGCGGAATTTCTGATGGGCATGCGGCTTGGCGCGAGTTTTCCTGGCAAAAGCTCTCCAGTGGCAAGACAATTTCTTTCAGGTACAAGCTCCTGATACTTGCATCTCGAGCCGTGGAAGGGTTGAGGATGTTGTCACGATCTCCGGCAGTCAGGGCGACCCGGTCCAATCCCCATGTCCTATTACGTCCGGCCGTATCCAGGTCGCCGCAGACCGGTTCACAGCCTCTCCGCCGCGGAGCTGCAAGCTTCATAGCTGGGCGCCCCAGAACTTCGATTGCCCGCAAAACATCCCCATCGACCTTACACTTGGAATCCCTACTCAGGGAAGCTACCTACGCTCGTTCTCAACAATGGCTGCACGGCCGGAGGCATGCGTCGTCCACGACAGCGACGGAGACCGGCCCCGATGCGGAGAAGAAAGATGCTATTTATGCCTTAGTCGACAAGATCAACGAAACGGATCTGGAATTGGCTGAGCTTATGCACGAGCTGGATCTTTTGGACGATCACGAGAAAGCCCTTAATCTCGAAGGTCTCGATTTCGATTATGCGTTGAGTCAGACGATCGGTCACCGGGACGAAGAAACATTGGATGCGCGGGTGCGAGAAGCAAGACAGGAGTTTGGTGAATACCTTCCGGAGGGTCTCTTGAACGATAGAGAGACTCAGCTGTATACTAGGTTGTACGGTGAACCAATCTATCTTTCGCAAGAGTCTCAGTTGGACCTAGTGGAAGAAGAGATAGATCCGGATAAACTATACCGTGAAGATGGTGAGGGCGGCTGGGAAGAAGTTGCGATGGATGAGTCTGAGACACACAACGAACCTCCGTTGGTCTATGATATGGAAGCTCCGCCGTCAGTCGAGGAAACGATTGCGATGCAACGGACGAGAGAAGTCGCCGAGCAGTTGGGCGGAGAGATCATGCTCGAGCAGTTCGAAGAGGAAGCAGCAGCAGACTCGGCTCCCAAATTCCATCCTTTGACCACAATGGGGAAGTTTTCCACCGATCCTAGCACTATATTCATACCCAAGGATAGCGTGACGGGCCCTATTTCTGTCATTCTGTCCGACTTTTCGAACAAGCACATTGCGGATACCGCCCACCGCACACTCGGCGGCCAATACCTTCCTTATTCCACCACAACCCCTCCCCTGCGCTTGCAAGCTCCTCAACAGCCGATTCCTCTAGAAGCATCCCAGCGGTACATGAGCGAAATGGAAGCCAATGTCTTTCTCGCCACTCTCTACCCTGGCATGTATGCATCTGTCCTGAGTGTTTTGGTGGAAGTCCGGAAACGCTTGGGTACGGACTGGATCCGGAACCTGATGACACAAGAAGGGGGCCCCCATGTCCTTGATGTTAGTGCCGGTGGTGCAGGTGTTTTGGCGTGGCGAGACATCCTTCGTGCGGAGTGGGAAGCCATGACGCCAGAGCACAGCTCAGAGGACCCCTATCCCGTGGGCCGGTCGACCGTTGTCACTGGCTCCGACTCTCTTCGTCTCCGTGCCAGCGCGATGCTCGAAGATACCAGCTTCCTGCCACGACTACCCGACTACGTCCATGTTCGCGAGAAGCCAACCTTGCAAGATGAACGGGCTCCTCCCAAGCGGAAACAGTACGACATCATCATCGCCCCACACTCCCTGCTCGGAATTGAGGAAGAGTTCCTCCGGAAGGAACATGTACAGAACCTATGGAACCTCCTAAACCCCAACGGAGGTGTTCTGATCCTCTTAGAGAAGGGACACCAGAAGGGCTTCGAAGCCGTTGCCGGAGCGCGTGACATGCTCCTGAAGCGATTTATCTCCAGCCCCGGATCCACCACATACGAAAACTTGACCGAATCGCCCGAAGAAGACACGTTCATCGAGAAAGAAGCCGGCATGATCGTCGCCCCTTGCACCAACCACAACAAGTGCCCCATGTACCAGATCCCCGGTCATACCAAGGGCCGTAGGGATTACTGCCACTTCCAGCAACGCTACATCCGTCCGGCCTTCCTCCAGCGCATCATCGGCGCCAAGGACCGCAACCACGAGGACCTGAAATTCAGTTACATCGCCGTCCAGCGCGGTGTCGATCGTCGTGTTGAGGACAGCATCATCCAGGGCACCGAGGCCGCAGATGCAGCGTTTCACGGATACGAAGACGAAGTCGAGATGCCTAAGCAAGAAGCCGAAGCATCGTCGGACGAGGCTGTCGCATCCGACACTCGACCTACACCTCCTACAGAGCAACAGGAAACAGGAGGCGTCAACTTCCTCTCCCTGCCCCGTATCGTCTACCAACCTATGAAGCGCCGTGGTCACGTCATCTTCGACCTTTGCACGCCGGCCGGCAAGATCGAGCGCTGGACCGTCCCCCGGTCGTTCAGTCGGCAAGCGTACAAGGATGCGCGCAAGTCCCAGTGGGGAGACCTGTGGGCTCTTGGTGCGAAGACTCGTATTGCCAGATCGCTGAGACTCGGCGAAAAGCACGGTGAGAGTAGGAAGGAACGACTTGCCCGGCGGGCTGCTGAGAAGGAGGAGATGGAGGAAGACGCAGAGGATGCTTTGGAGGAAGGTATGGAGGCTACCAACAGTATGCCTGATCTTCAGACCCCGATTAAGAAGAAGGGCCAGAAGATACCCAGTTGGGAGAAGCAGCAGATGAAGAAGAAGCGCAGGCAGGCTTTGAAGCAGGTGAAGCCTTCGGCCTAAACTATCACTGGGTCTGAGCTAGCTTGTTACTTTTTCGGGTATCTACATTGGAGTCAAAAGTGGCGTATAGAGGGTTTGGATTGCTTCCTGGCTAGGAGCATCATTTGTGGGTTGGGGACGGTCATTGTATTATATTCCTGTACGATATATGACATGTAGTATAGACCATAGCTGTTGGTTGTAAAAGACTTCTTCACTCAATGGCACAATCTCCATTATTCATCTTGTGCATGGTCATTATGCGTAGCGGGAGAGGCAGCTCTATAGATCCCTCTGCAAGTGCCCCAGGGACTTCTATGATTGAGCATTCCACGTGGACACTGAATCTTCCCAGCATTGCCCTTTAATTCTGTCATCCTCCGCTCATAGTCGTGAGAGCGCGATGGTTATAGCTTCGCCGGTGGTCACAGCAACCCTGCATTCTCAGCAGTGTCGACATGAAGAGCATAGTTATAGTCGCAGTACGGCCATATGTGGATATCAGCGGCAAATCACGCAGCCCAAGCCACATCTCCTGGCGTAGCATACCCTCTTCTGGCTTGGAGATCAATACCGTATCCACATGCTACCTTTTCCTAAGCCATGCTCTCATTTCTCATTTTCCCGCTATTCTGCATTCGCAGAATCAGCCCAAGGGGCCTGAGAAGCCCATATCAAATCAGTCGTCGCAAAACTCGGCAAGCATCACTTCCAACCTTGAAGCCGAGCTTTAGTGAAACGCCATACTCTTCCTCAACTGCCTCTCCCTCTGCGTACTCTGCAACTCCAACCTCTCCACCGCATACTGCAGCCGTTCCTTCTTCTGCATCAGTCGTTTCAACTCCGCAGCCTTTGCAGCCTTCCCTGAGGCGCCCCCGCTCTGGAGTCGATCGCCATAAGCGCTACGCATTCTCGAAGGCTGACGGCTCTCATTCGAGTACATTCTTCCCTCTTGCAGCTCGCATTTAGCTCTCAGTCCTTGTTCTCGCCGCGAGAGCTTCTCCACGTGGTTCGACGCTAGTGAGAGCAGGTGGGCGATGCTGGGAGTGATTTCATCAAGGAGGGATTGTTGAGCTTCGCGCAGAGTAGGTTCGGGAAGGAGTTCGAAGTGCTGTTGTGGTTAGATTGGGTGTTTTGATATCAAGCAGGAGGGTATGGGGTGCGTACTCGGGTTGTTTGCAAGACCTTGCATAGTCGGGGAAAGTCGCTAATACCGGAGTCGAGGGTGGAGATGGAGGAATCGAGAAGTTGGAGGGAGGATCCGAGGGATGAGACGGAGGCTTGGAGGTGGTCTGCCATTGCGATTATGTTGAAAGGAAAAATAAGGTATCTGCTGGAAGAAAAGCGTGTTGTGTATTGTCCTGATTAATCGTTATCGTGATTGTTGATTGTTTACTGCGGAGGGGCAACCAGCGATAGACGCCGCAGTAAAAGCGGCGCGGCAAATTCTTCCCGAAGCGTTAAAGCGGCCGGGGATTCGGACTCCCGGACAAACCTCGTTGTACCCGCTCTCGTCTCGTCGCTCCTTCACCAGCTGCTCCAACTCCCGTCTTTCCTCCATACCCAGCACTTCGCTTTCAATTAAACGATCTGCCCACCATGTCTCTCCTCGGAAAGAAGTTCCCCACCCCCGTTGGTACGTTTGCCGTGGTCCTGGCGCGCCTATGTTGGGTTCGAGAGAGATGAGAATACGAACTGACCTGCTTTGCTCATTTAGCCAAGCCCATGGCTCCCTTCTTCGCCGCCGGTATGCATGCACACCTATTACTTTATTGAATGGCTTTGTCTGGCCTGGATAGCTATGCGGATATGACGGAATAGCTCCCATTGAAGCGCGTTGAGAGAGGGGGGTAATAGCGGCTTTCTAACGGTATTTCGAATTACAGGTCTGGTCATCCTCTACGGTGTCAACTCTTTCGCCAACGTCATGATGTCGAGTAAGTGAACCTGTTACGACATTCTCCAATCTCAGCACGGTGTTAAGCGTCCGCTTGAATTCAACTTCGAATCCCTTGTTCTCTCGATCCGAATCGTGCATGCTAACCTCGGTTGTTACACCTTAGCCGCCGAGTTCAAGAACGACCCCCGCAACCCCAACCTCAAGAACCAGAAGCATTAAATTAGCTCTGGGTGAATTTCCGAGCACGCGGATATGGCGGATGAATGCGTGGCTGTTGTGGGTGGTTTGAGAGCCCCGGTTGCTGCGGGTTCGTCGGTCAGTCGAGTTTGCGGGCATTTACTGTGTATAAGCTTATAGAAGATACCGTCATACGACATTTGCCAATTGATATGTTGTATACCTATTTCTCCGCTTGATGGTGGTGGTGCTCCGCTCGGGGGTGTGCGGAGCCGGATAGCATCGCTGGAAGGCTGGTATGTAGGCTCCTGGTGGATATGGCCACGATGGAAGCTTGGACTAGTTGCATAGACGTAGTGTGGCGTGCTGCAGGTCTTTGTGTGCACGTAGAGTATTGGAAGTATATGTTGGTCTGCTAGTAGCTTAGGATAGCCATTGAAAATGATCATAACAAGTCGCTATGCTTATGGCGTGCAATTACAGGCTGAGCTCTATCGCTACAATGTAAAGCATATTTCTTTTATCGTCCATTCTGCCTGTAGGATCATAGTGCGTGTAGAGCTTCGAAGTAGGCCCAGATTTTGGATAGTGCACGTTCGTTGCACGGTCAATACGCAAGATACCAATGATACTTTCCGCGACCTCTCCAGAATTAAGGACGCGGTTCAAATAGAAATTCATCATATATAGCACATCATAATATAAATAATTTGATTCTTGCATTACAAAAGTACCCTCATACTCAGTATATCCAAAATTCTCCCCCCATCCGGGTGAAAAGAGACAGATGCCCCTAACCCAAACAGGCAATCCGCATCCCGACTCCCGTGACTTTCGCCGCTCCGGCCAAAACCTCCGGCCATCAAATCCATCCCCAAATCGCATTCAAGCCAAATCAGCGCCAGGAAACCCCCCTTTCACCAGGTCAACATGTCGCACTTCCGGTCCAAGATCCTCGATCTCGGCGGGTTCATCAACCCCCGTGTTGTCCGCGACCACACCAAGCGGAAGGTTTTCGAGCAATTCGAGCCGGAACGGTAATTCCAACCCATTCGTTAAAAGGTCCAATCAAACAGCTACTGACTGATAATTTTTTTACATATAGCCAAGCTCTCCGCTACGTGATTCACAACACCTCCCTCCCCCAGCGTGTGCGCGCTCAGGCTCAGCTCCAGCTCGCTTCCATGCACGCCTACACTCGCTCGACGCAGATCAAGAACCGCTGTGTGGCGGGTGGTGTTCCTCGCAGTGTTATTCGGGCGTTTAGACTTGGTAGAGTAAGTCTATTTCTAGTCAATACCTAATTGACTGGATAAATACTAATGTTTGGTGTGTACAGTACCAATTCCGTCAGCAGGCGCTGGCCGGTGAACTCCCCGGTGTGAAGAAGGCCAGTTGGTAAAATAGTATGGGAATTTTATGCGAAAAGAATACATATATTTGTGATAGCTTTCATTGGGTTCGTTCGGCGGGTTCTTCCTGAAAGGCGTTTGTTTTCAACTTTCCTCCGTTTCCTTGTTGGTCAGAGGACTTGTATATTAGGTTTTGTTAGATGATGAGGAGGAATAAGATATGCCTTTTCATTGTCTTGAGTACTGTGCTTAGTTGAGCTGGTCTCTGATCTACAGTACTCCCAGAGAGGGGGATTGCAGTAATGTGGCTATTTTCGGGGGATTATGTTCGGCATCATCCATAGCTGGATGTGACACCGTCGGATCTTGTCGATTGGTCTGCGCGGTGAAGGGCGGATGTTACATGAAGTACTAAGCTATGCATTGACAAACGCATGCACTTGGCTTCACTTGATATTCACTGGCATTGGCTGGGCGAAGTTGCAGTTTCTTTTTGGTTCTCCTGTTTGTTCTTGCCGTTGCTTTTATTCTAGATCTGTTGTCTCTGTCTCTGCCTCCGCCTCCATATCTCATCTCTCTCTCTCTTGCTGAATCCACTCATTGTTACTCACACGCTCGTTCTCTCGTCATCGTCAAACTACTACATTCGCCACAATGTTCGTCTTCAGCCGAAAAGACCTCCCTGCGGAGCCTGTATTCCCCGCGGACCTGGAGAAACTGGGGTAAGAAGGGACTGAGATGGAGAATCCATCCAACCATAACTCATCTACTAACCAAAGCCAGGTACTTCATCACGAAAGATGACCAGATCCGAAAGATCTCCGCGCCAAAAGAAGAGTTCCAATTCAAGATCAACAGGAACGCGCGGTGGAATGAGATGCAGCGAGAGGCCATGAACAGTATGCATTCTAAGCACCGCTCATCGCTGTATAACTAACCACTCTATATAATAGCATGCATTCGCAACATCGTCCTCTCCCGTCTTCGCAGCCTCGGGCTCATCACTCTTCGGCTTCCGCTTACAGCTCGACCTGCCGATGCGCATGTGCCTATTCTCATCTCCAAGAACCTGTCCACTGCCTCCCGCGTCATCGTTGTCTTCGGGGAGCCTATACAGGATCTTGGCATCTGGGCTTACCGGACTCTCAGCAGCGATGGCATCGAGGTCGGGTCGGCGGTTTCATTTGCGCGGGCTGTTCTGGATCAGAAAGACACGGCTCTTGTCCTGGCAAACACGGGGCAGTTGGTGTGGCACTGTGGCTCCGGTCGAGCGATGACACTGACGTCCTGGCATTGCGTTCCTCGAAAGTCGGCGGTAGATCCGCCGCTGGTTATGACTCGTCGGAACAAGATCCCTGGGAATGGCGACTGGCAGGAACATATTCAGTATGTGTTTGAGGAGATCTTGGCTGCTCGGGGTCGGCTGGTTAGGGCTGATGCGAAGATCGGGGTGGTGGGCTTGGATGATGGGGGGTTGGGCGCTATTCGGTATTTGGGGAGTAACTGTATGTCTACTTTTCGTGCTTCAAGGTTTATTGGTGGTTGGTTGTCTGGTATCTGGCTAATAAGTAACAGGGGAAGCATGGCGTCCATATATATCAGCGATCTGTCTCACCAGTCCATTTCACCGGATTGGCGTTGACTTTGGAGACAAGGATGATAAAGATTCTAAGGACCCCTCATCGTTTGTGAGCTTCGTCTCCTCGCGTTGCCGTGGGTATATCCTGTCTGAGCAGGATCTCGAGCTGCCTGTCCCTGCTCCTGAGCATTATGGGTGCAATTGCTATTCGTCTGGCGAGCCGCTGATTACCGAGTGTGTCATGCCCAAGGCGTGGGAGGATATGCTGAAGTGGCTCAATACGACTTTCGAGGATCCAGAATACTGCGAGGCTAATTTGATGTTCAGAGAGTTTTCGGGGAATATGGGGGGTGATGCTATGAAGAGAGTTGCTGAGCTTGAGCAAGAGGATGATATGATTGCTTGCAGTGAGCAGTAGTTAGCACGAATTCCTATTGATACAATCTTACTAACCGTAGTGCATATGTCCATCATTAGTCCATTATACAGTAATATACACTACATTGAATCATACACCACATTAACCCTAATAGTGTATCCTATTCACTCACTCTTATCCCTCTGCATATTCTTATCCACATCCATATCCTTCTCCTTCTCCTCCCACTTCTCCCTCACTCTCCTCCTCAACCCCCCATTCACCCCTCTCCCCCAAATAACCTCTTCCTTATCTCCACCCTCACCATCCTCCCTACTCTTCCCCCCACCAACCCTCTCACTCCCCACAACCACCTTCCTCTCCTTCACCCTCCTCTCCCTCCCCCTCGCAACCTCCACCTTCCTCAAATAAATCGCATAAATCATCACCTCCGCCACGCCCACCACCACCGCCGCCCCCAACGACACCAACACCTTCACCGACTCCGACACTCCCTGTCCTGTGCCCTTTCCCCTCCACACCCTCGCCACAGTAGATACCAGCATCTCCGGGGACCGGAAACTCCGCAGCGCCCAGTACACGCTGAACCCGGTGATCAGGACGGAGAGGAAGATGTTGAGCACGAGGCCGGGGGTGAGGGGGTCTGTCTCGTTATAATCATCATTGTTGTTGGGGTTATGTTTGTTGTGCAGTGCTTCGAGGGTTGGTGTGGAGGAGGTGAAGATTGAGGGTTTTGTGGCTGCTGTTCTGGAGGATGGAGGGAAGAAACCGGATGAGGTGAAGGAGGATGAGGATGAGGTCATGCGGTTGTAGGCGTCTGTTTCGGCGGCGGCGAGGAGGCGCGCTTTGAGGGCAAGGTATTCGGGTGACTTTTAAAGGTCAGGTTAGTTAATCTTGTTTTGTGTATAGTGTTGGGTGATGTGTTGGGGATAGGTGTTGTACCGGCTCGGGTTTCTTTGGCGGAGGAGGAACGTAGACTTTTGTTCCGCGGAGGAGGGAGTTTAGGGTTTTGCTTCTATCGGTGTTTGCAGAGGTAGTAGCGGTGGTGGTGGTGGTATCTTGTTGTCGAAAGTATCGAGCTATCTTGATCAATTGGTCGTGGGAGATCGGGTCCTCTAGGTTCAAGGTATCGGGGAGGGAGAAGTCATGTCGCGAGGTAGGAGGGAGGGCCTCGATGGCGGAGAGGATGGAGGGTGTTGTTGTTAGGAGAACCATTTTGTAGATGTTATATATCTTTATAACATTTTGTTGGTTTAGTTGTGTAGGTAAGAGAAAGGAAGAATAGTTGTAGATTGTAGATTGTAAGATAGATAGTATGTTGATGATGATGAAGATCGCCGCAGATGACACCATTCCCGATCAGGAAATCAACTCCCCCACTCCATCATTATCATTATTCCTCACTCCGCGGCCTGCAGTGCATCTCTTTACCTTCCGCCCTCCCCCCCTCTTTCTATCTTATATACTCCGACCTGTCTGTCACCATGGCAGACAAGAAGACTTCCTCGTGAGTACTCCACATTCCGTACACCAAAAAATTCACCCTTCATATACCACACCACCACCTTCTTCACAACAACCCCTCCCCTCTCCACCATCTCAAACCAAATATCCCCAAACCACCCACCCCACCCCCCTCCCTTAAGAAAAACCACCACTAACCCTCCCCCCCTTCTCCCCGGGACCATCAAACCAGAGTAACACCCCCCACCAACCCGCGCGGCATCCCCGCCGCGCCCTTCGTCGACAATGTAGCAGACTACGTATCCTCGCGGAGCGAAGTGGAACCGACGCTACGATCCTTCCAAGAGATGATTTCAAAGTACCAATTCATGGAAGTCAACACGCAGCGCCGGGCTCAAGGTCTACGCGACAAGATCCCCGACATCAAGAAGACATTGGAGATGGTGCGATTCCTGAAACTCAGAAGAGAAAACGCAAGTGCCTCAGCACTCGAAACCAACTTCGAATTGAACGATACATTGTACGCTCGCGCGACGGTCTCCCCCGCTGATACGGAGGAAGTGTATCTCTGGCTCGGAGCGAATGTGATGCTTGCGTACCCGATTGAGGAGGCTGAGAGCATGTTGGATGAGAAGTTGGCGGCGGCGCAGAAGAGTCTGGGGAACTGTGAGGAGGATTTGGAATTTTTGAGGGAGCAGATTACGGTATGTTTGTTCTATTCCATTCTATTTCACTTTTGGTATTTTTGGTTTGGGGGGGATTGGGGCTAATGGTTTGTGTAGACGTTGGAGGTTGCGACGGCGAGGGTTTATAATTGGGATGTGGTGCAGAGACGGAAAGAAAAGGCTGAAGGTAAGGGTGATGAGGAAGGGGAGAAGGCTGCTTGATATCATTTTATTAGAGAGATATGATATGATACTTTTAATGTACTGTTTTTGTGTTGTTTCTGGTTTTGTCTCCGACTACCCTTTTGTATGTATTTAGTGTCAAAAGCAGGCATTGAAAATGAAAGTCTACATGATGATTATTACTATCAACAACGGTAGATCTCAAATAGATATCTGCAATGCGCCGTGCCATTATATGATCTATAATCGCCGAAAATAAACATGGAGACCCTCGCACGCTCATCCAAACACTAGCTCAACAGCAAGTAGAAATATATTAGGTCATGCCAGCAGCTGTGCATCTCGTGAATCATCAATCGCAGCATATGTTTCTCAACCAGACCCATGTAAGCCCAAAGTGGGGAAGCCGAATCGAAAGCAATATTAAAACCATATATCATCGAACAGAGCAAATGCCACAATTCGTAAGTCATACGACGGAAACATCTCGTCAGTTAGCAGTTCATGCTTCGCTTCGAGTCCGTCAACACGCTATCATATTATCCACATCAGGCGACAGTCGGCCTCATGTCCAACTCGGTATCGTCCTCGACAATCGTCCACTCCTCCTCGGGTACGTCCTCGTCCGCTTCCTGTTCTGCCACCGTCTTCGCCGAAGGTGTGGGCGAGAACGGCGTCGAGGATACATTGGAGCGCGCTTGAGCCAGGGTTTTGGCGTACTCTAAATCACGGTAGATCGCTTGAATAGCCGTATCCACTCCGTCCTCCTGTTCAATCATTAGCAGGGCAATATGACTAGATTCACATACGACTTACACTTCGGATTTGCGCTCCTAATTTGTGGGCTTTGACGATCATGCGCTCGTCATGGGTAGCCTCCCACAAAGCCCGAGAGAACATCGTCACGTTCAGCTTCTTCAAACAGATGCCCACGCCCAAGTCTTCAACTCGCGTTCCAAAGAAGAATTGGTCGCCAAAGAACGGCTTGACAATGGTAGGAACCCCGGCACGCAGACTCGCCCCAGTAGTTCCAGCGCCGCCATGGTGCGCGGCGGCATCGATCTGCGAGAAGAGCCAGTCATGGGGTGCCGATTGAATCTGGATGATTTCCGGCGGCAGAGGGACCTCTGACTTGGCACTAGCCGGGTCTCCTAGACGATCAGACCAACCCTTGGACAGGATGCAGCGGACATCGGCCTTCTGGACAGATTCGATGACGGTGCGTGTGAGAGCGGAAGGATCGGACACAACAATTGACCCGAA